AAGGCCTCACAAGGTCCCACAGTTAACAGGAAATCCTTCTTGGCCCCATCCCTGCCTCAGACAGGGTCATCCCTGTCTCAAGTGGCTTAGATGACAGCTTTCACAGACCGTACCTTATTCAAGTTAGCCCCCAAGCTTGCCATTGAGACATCTGAAAAGGTCTCCTTGAGGGGGACTGCCAGCCTCTTCTACACTTTAGGGAGGATGTTGGAAAGTAGCTTAAAAAATATAAGTTAACCCTCAGGCAAGAGACAGGCTGGACAGCTAGGGAAAGGGCAGGGAATGGTCCCATAACTGGGCTGGGGACAGCCTTAGAGAAACCCAGGGCCACAGCTATAGTCCAGAACCCAGCAAGATTGCTGGACAACTGAGCATGTCTGGGGTGAGGGTGTAGTTTCAGCAATCTGCTGCTCCAGGTGGGAGCTAGGCAGGTAACAAACTGGATTCATTGAGTGATCCAGGAAGGGAGTTTGAGAGTGACAGGCAGCCTCCATGGCCTGGTATGGTTTAGGTGAAAAGCTGTAGGTAAACTCAGTGCTGTCTGAGCTCAGTGAGGCAGACAAGGCTCCTGGCATCAGTGGGAGGAAACAGACACAGGAGCCTAGGGGTAGTGAGAAATGAGAAGGGAGGATCTGGGTACTGTCAGTGCTACTTACTGTTCTTGTGGTTGCCCAAGGCTCAGGTGAGGAGGAGGAAGCCAGGCCAACCCCACAAAGTCCACCTTATGCCCAATGCACCCTTAGCTAACTTAGGGAGAATGACAGGTAGTATGTTCCCTTCTTCTGAGAGGTAGCAAGCCCCCAAGAGGGAATAGGACATAGCTCAGTGGTAATGTACTTGCCTAGCATGTGCAAGACCCTGGATGCCATCCCCAGCACTTCAAACAAACAAAACAGAAATGCCCTCCCCACACCTACACATGTACCCATTCTGGAGGTCTGATACCTGGGAGTGAAAGGCTTATAAAGCGGACCCTTGCAGTGGCTCTGCACAGAAGGTGAACATTGTTCCCAAGGGTGTGACCATGCCTCCAGCCCCACCCCAAGTCCAGCTCTGTGTGAGGCCCAGGAGGCACCTTATAACTTGACTCTTGCTGCCTTTTCATCTCCTCCACCCCCTTCCTACCCACCTAGCTTCACTGCACCCAGCTAAGATTTTGTGTCTGAAGCATGCCAATTTCATTCCCTCGAGTGCTTTGCTGTTCCCCTTGCTCTTTGTACAACTGTCCCCTCATCATGCAAGTCTTAATTTAAATGTCACCTCCCTAGAGAAGGTCTCCCTGATCTCTTTCAGAATGGCTGATCCTCCCTGCAGGAGCAAAGACAGACGCAAAGGAGATGCCCTTCTTTCTGCACCTCTAGTACTCCTAGCCGGAGGACTCAGTCCTACTTGCATGCCATGCATGCTGTGTACACAGAACACACAATCCCACATATGCACTGCATATGGATAAGGCAGAGTCATGCACACACCATATTCACCACACACAAAATCTGCCCTGCAGTTGCATGCACACAGCCCTACATGCATATGTACTGCATAAACACAATGTCATGTGTGCCCACAGAGAAAACACACACAGGGTGGCATACGACACTCACACCCCTGCTCTGTTAGCAGCCTGCATCCAACCCCAGTGCACATGTGTGCATTTACATACACACACACACACACACATGCGTGTGCACACACACACTATTGCCTCTTCATTCAGCAGCTGCCCACCCTCCCTCTAGCCAGCGAGAGAGGAATGTGCGGTGACTGCGGCTGCCTTGGGTTGGGGGGAGCCTGTACCCCCACCACCTGGCACGATGCTGCGGATTATTAGTTCCTGGTAATTTAGTGCCCTTGTACAGAGTCGATTTGTGCCTTTCATTCCTAATTGATCTAGTGGCTGTTTAAATGGCAGCAGGCATCTGTTGAGAGTAGGAAGGTTCATAAGGCGCAATAATTCATAACACCGTCTGGAATTTGCCTTTCATGGCCCTCAGCTAAACCACTGCAGGGCTCTGCTTAAATTACAGCCACTGAGGCTTTCTTTGGTATTCCACTCAGGGCCAGGAGAATCTTGCATTAAACTGGGATCAGGTTAGATTAGACTATAATATGCTGCAGTATTAGTGGCTGCAAATGAAGACTTACACTGGAGTTTAACCCCTTCACCTGGTGTTCTCTTTGTCTTCAGCCAGATCCCTAACTCACCTATTGTTTTTCTCTGCCAGCTTTCTACCAGAGCTCAATAGATCTTCTGGTAATTTGGGGCTGCAGATGAGCCACCCTTAAGTATTGACCCTCTTTCCTCATACTATCCACTCCATCTGCAGCCCTGGGACCAGACATTTATGCATCAGGTCCCAAAACAAGGGACAGGGAGATAGTGCCTTCAGCTGAGCCCCACAGCTCATCTGAAGCAGGAAATTATCTCCCTTCATACCCCATTGCCCTCAGACTAAGGAGAAAGACCTGTACTGTGTGGTGAGAGTGTGGATGGAGGTAAGCCCTGTCTGTCTATTTGCCCAGAATCATTAGAATTCCAGAGTGGGACAGGAGCCAAGGGTTCCCACAGCTGCTGACCAATATCGCAAGTACTGTGTCCTCTGCATGTTCAGTTCTCCTCTCACTGCATCCACTGTGTTGGAAGGAGAAAGCATGAGCTTTTCCTTTTTAGAACTGTTCTCCAATCAGGTAGCTAATAGCCACATGAGGCTATTTAAATTAAAATTAATTAAAATTCAATAAAATTAAAAATTCAATGCCCCAGTTGCAATAGCCATATTTCAAGTGTTCATTGGCCTCACGTGGTGAGTGGCTACTGTATTGGACATGCAGATTACAGAGCACATTCATCACTACAGAAAGTTCTATTGGACAGTGCTAGCTAGAGCACCCCTCTGGCAGGGGCCCAGGGGCCAGGTCCAGCACATATTCCTCCTCCTCTCCCAGCAAGAAGCACTTCATAGAAAAGAAAGGAGTTAGATTTTATGGTCTGAGGAGTCTGAGGAGACAGACTGGAGAGAGATGTGTGTGTGCTCTTTTGGAAAAGCAAGGGAAGAGAATGGGACTCTCCAGAGCCAAGGGTCAATAACCTAGGCACACACATGATCACATGCTGCAGATATAAGTGTGATGCATATTTGTCCATGAAATAAAGTATGTATGCATTTAACACATATTCAACAAATATTTGTGAGGGTCCACATAGCTCTGCCAAATTAAGGTGAACTTAATTCTTGCTTAAAGATTAATGAAGAAGGCAGATGATAAAACAAACAACTGAGGGACTATGGTCATAGGTTTGGAGGTGGAAGGCAGTTAGGGAAGCTTCCAGGAGGTGGTGATCTCTAAGCTAAGACTCAGAACCATTTAGGTATTTGGGTGAGAACACACACCATTCATTCATTTAGTCATACAAATGGTCACCAAGTAGTTTTTAAGTGCCTGCTATTGATTATTCACAATAGCTAAGCTATGGAAACATCAAGATGCCCCACTACTGATTAATGGATTAAGAAAATGTGGCATTTGTATACAATGAAATTTTATTCAGCCATAAAAGAAGACTGAAATTTTGTCATTTGCAGGTAAATGGAAGGAACTGGAGAACACCATCTTAAGTGAAGTTAGCCAGGTTCAGAAAGTTTTCTCTCTTATGTGGAATAATAGACCTAATAAAATACAAGCAATATTATGAAAAACAGGGCACACTAACAGGAGATCACATACAAGAGAGAGATGGTAAAAGAAGGAAGTTAAGAAGGTGAATATATTGATTTACTTCCTATACAAGAATGAATATAGAATTTTTAAACCTGTTGAAATCACCATAAGAAGGGCACTAAGGTCGAAAGGAGAAAAATGGGTTGAGCCAATTCCGGTTATAATGCATATATCCATGGGAACGTCACAATGAAACACCTTGTATGGCTATCTTAAACAAACAAAAATGTCACTTTTTTTTTTTTTTAACAAAATTGGAGAATGGAGGGTAGAACAGGTCCTATTTGGGGGATTGATACCAGTGGAAGGGGACAATATGGGGAGAGGCTATAAGAGGGTGAATAAGGTGCAAATATTGTGTACACATGTTTGTAAATGGAAAAATGAGACCTGTTGAAACTATTCTGGCAAAGGGAGTAGGGGGATAAAGGAGAACAATGGAAGGGATGAATATTGTAAGAACTTTTGTAAATGTCACAATGTACCCTCAGCACAACAATAACAACAACAACAAAAAATGCCTACTATGGCATACATGGCAAGATTCTGGGGATAAAACAATAATTAATACAGAGACTCAGAGACTGTCTTAGAAGAAAACAGTGAAAAATAACAATGCAAACAATCATTTAATTATAACTGGGCTAAGGGTGCAATGATATAAAAGTGTATGAAGATGCGACACATGTAAATGGGGTGTGTGACCTAAACTGAGTTTGCCGACAGGTATGACACAGGTACAAACATCTGCCCACCATATGTGGATGAGTGTTTGGGTTCATGCACTTCCCCCTGAACACAGTTGTTTGTGCACATCTGCTGCCCTCAGCTGGCTCCAGAAAGTATGTGAGTGTATGTATGTGTGGTGCTATCATATATACATATGAGCCGAAGTACTTATCTAAATGACTCTGTGGGTCTTAGCTTGGGAATCATCCATGGCAGTGCTCATGACAGGACTTCTCTGAACACTTCCTACATTTCCATCCTGGATGGACTCTGAGTCAGAAATGGACCCCTTCTTTGAAAGGTTATAACATCATGCAGTTTATCTGACTAAAGAGATAGCCCTCTGAGGTCCCAGGAACTGGGAGACTGGACCTTTCACACAAGGGCATGAAATGCTGCCACGCAGGCTGACCCTGGGGATTGGAGACATTCTCAAGGAGTGGAACCTTAGAGAAGTGACGGAAATGTGGGAAAGGGAGCCTGATGCTATCTCAGCCCAGCCAGCACCATGGTCTCTGTGTGTGCGCATGTGTGAGCTCTTGATGTCCCTGCAGGCACCCTCTCTTCCCGCTCCTGACGCTGCTGTTTGAGAAATGTGAACAGGCCACCCAGGGCTCTGAGTGCATCACTTCCGCCAGCTTTGATGTGGACATCGAGAACTTTGTCCACCAGCAGGAGCAAGAGCACAAACCCTTCTTCAGCGATGACCCAGAACTGGACAATCTGGTAAAAACCCTCCTCCCCATACCCTAGCGAGAGTCTACCAAACTCCTCCCAAAAAACACACTACAAATGTTCCCTGCATTAGTTCATTCAGTGAAAATTTCAATGCCCACCATGAGGCAGGTGCTAGATGCACCAATTTACAGCTAAAGATCATTTCTAAGGTCTTAAACCAAGAGTTCTAGTCACAGGCTTTGCTGCCAAAATTCTCCCCTTCTCTACCTATGGCGTTGCCAACATCTGAGGACTGTTTTGTAAAAAAAAAAAGGCAAGTGGAAAAGACGTAGTAGCCAGAACATCAAGGGTAGCTGTTTTGAATCTGGGACTGCCCGGAGAGTAGCCAGTGGCTGGCGTGCCACAGTGCAGAGGGTGAGGAGAAGAAGCATGTTCAAGTTTGTCAGTAGAGAGAAAGACTGGGAGACACAATCATTCTGGGAGGACTAGTAGAGGCCTTGCCCACTTTGGTGGCCCAATAGATTAGACTCCCAAAAAGTTTGCTGCTCAGATCATCACTGCAGTTTATACGATACACATTCCAGAGCCAGATCAGAGAATTGTGACTGAGCAAGTTCAGAGAAGGCCTGCGACTTTACATTTTATTTCTCTGGGCAACTGGTCTTCAGTTAGGTTTGGTAACATCTGGGTTGGATGACATCTGAAATTCTCATGCAGCCTTGGGAATTCTGCTGTGAGAGGATATTAGAGTCTATTCTGTAAGTCCTCCTGGAATTATTAACTGTAGTTCCTGATTTTATGTGGGTGTAGTGCCCAGATTACACATGGTGAATTTGGAAACTCTAACTCTGCAAAACTCTTTCATATATTGATTGATGATAATGCTGACCTCTTGCACCCAGAGTTTAGCCTATACCTGCTCCCAAAAGGAGAACAGAATTAGAAAAGCAAAACATGGCTCCAGAAAGGAAAGAAAAAATACATACACACTGTGCACATGTACAGTACATCTGTAAAACAGATGTAAATGACTTTGGTATTATTCTGGGCTGTGAATGAGCCACACCACTGCTTTTCTCAGAATTTAATGTGGCACTTTATGGGTCCAGAAGATAGCTACCAGGAGGTTCCCATCCTGGCCTGGAATTTTGTGATGTGCTGTGATGGAGGCTGTCATTTAGAGTACGTAAGCAGGTCTCAAGCAGAGGATAAGTGCTTGCTGGCTATCAGTGTTAGTGGAGGTACGGAGAGCCTTTAATTTACCTCTGCTCAGCCATTGCCCTCCCTCTTCCATAACAGGGATTGAACAGCTCCACTCTCCAAGAGGCTGGACTGCCATTTCTGAGATCCCCTTGGAAAGCTTCCCCTATGCAGGTTCTCCAGATGGTCAACTGTTAAGGACTGGCTCTGCCCTGCTCTTTGGCTAACCAGAATAAGACTGTATTAGGAATGAGATCCTCAGAACTCAGATCCAGATAGCTGTGGATCCAGGAGATGAGGCAGCCATGTCTGCAGGAGCTGGAATGGGCCTAGGGACTAAGCCCTTTGCCCTCACTTGACACAAAATGAAACTGAGGCCTAAGTTGGTAAGGAAAGGTCTAAAATTATACTGAGTAATGTGAAGGAATTTAAACCTTCTTATGAGGTGGGATTCCTGAGGGAATACACCCCACCGACCAGATGAGCTGTGAAAGTCCCACTGAACACAGCCTCCCATTCTAGCCCAGCCTGGAAAAAACAAAAAGTGGCCAGTTCCATGCTCTGCCCTTGCCAGTCTTGCTCAGGTTTCTCAGGGTTCTGATCATTCAAATAATCAGATTTCTTGATTCAACTAATTAAAACTGGGTTGGTTGTCTGTTATGTGCCAGCCCTGATGTGGGAATATGGATGTTGTAGAAGCTGCCCCAGTGGCCCTAGGCACCTGGTGTCCCCTGGTTGTCTGTCTCAGGTAAGAGGGCTGGGAATGGTCCAGCTGGCAGAACAATCCTTGTACCATCCATCTGCTTACATGGACCTGATTTACCTGGATGAGTTAGCCACGGTCAATAACTGGTTGATTGATTAATTATGCAAATGCAGACATATGACAGAGCACCTAGAGACCTACCTTTACCATTTACTACCTGTGTGACCTCCATGGCTGAACTCCTTTGAAGCTTGGTTTCCTCATCTGTAGCAGTAACACACCTATCTCATGTGATTAATGAGATGGTTCTGAAACTGGCCTTTAAAAATGCCTTCTACATGAGGATTAATCTCAAATGCAATATCACCAGGCAAGGTGTTCCAGCCTCCCTGACCTCACCTCCTGGCCACCAGAGAATCTGTGTGGCCAGGAGCCTGAAGGTTTGGGGAGAGTCAGGCAGTGCCCTTTGCCATCCCCATTCCTTGTCCTGTGTGGGATGGGGGAGATGAAGAGGCCAGGCACAGGAGCCATCATTAGAACAAGAATCATGTCTCCAGCACAGCCGAGACGCACGTAATTAGAAATTAGAAAAAGGTCAGATCGCATTATTACCAGCTCAATCAGCTGCCGAGTGCCACAGCCAGTTAATTTGGCATCTGTATTTTTTACAACCCCGCACACGTAGCCCAACGGACTGTAACTCTTTCTCCGGACAGATATACTGCACAGCCGAGCAGGGACATAAAATGAGGGACCCCAAGCAAATGAGCTGAGATAATTGAGAGATTTATTTTTTATATATATGTGTGTCATGGTGGCTTTCCTTTGCCCTTGAATATTGACTTTCATAGATGGGATTGTCAGGAGGGCACTTGGGTCCCCCCAAATTTGCTCTGGGAAGATCCCCTCTCCACATCCTCACCCCCGGATCTCCAGCCTCGCTCTAGCTCTGCCTGGCTTTCTCTCTCCTTTTGGCTGAGGTCATCCATATCCCCATCTAGTCTCCTTCTTCTCCCCCATGGCTTTGCCAATCACATTCTCCATGCTCCCCATGGGAGCTGCTTTTCCACACAAATCTCCATGGAAACAACTGAGTCATCTCTCCCAGAGCTGCCCCAGAGATCAGAGAGAGGGTCCCAGCTGTAGATTTCTGAGGGACCATCCTCCCTTTTGGACCCATAGCACCCCTACAGGACAGGGGGTGGAACCACAGAAAATTAGAGGGAAAAACACAGCCCTGCCTAGTAGTAAGTTCACCTCTCAACCCCCTTTTTATAGCCGGGGACACTGATATTCACAAAAGAGATGTGATTTATTTCCTTTCCCTTCCCTAGTGTCGCCAACTCTTAACTTTGTGTCTCTTCCACTGTCATTCCACCTCTCTTCTCCCTGGTGACAATAAAGCCCTCACTTACAAATAAGACAGTGCCAACCAATAGTATTTCCTCTCCAGCCCCTGTCCCCACACTCTTTACTTTCTCTACCTCTCCATTTCCATGCCACAGGGGCATCTTTCCACTCTTCCCAGTGACTAAGTTGGAATCCCCTGGTGAGCTCTGTGGGGAGAGGTCAGCTCCAATTCCCACACCCTCAGTACTCCCCAGGCCTAATCCTTACCTGGCCCCCAAATTCCCTACTTGGGCCCAGCAGCCTCTGACTGGCAGTTGGTAAAGTTTGTAAAATTTGCAAGTTCCCAAAACCCCTTTGAAAGGTAAAAGCTTTTTGTTTTATAAAATCTGATTTATGGGCCCCCGGTGCTGGGCCAAGGTTTTATATATTACGCAAGATTTCAAACTAAAGCTGTAAAACGTACGGTTTCAGTTTCATGCATGGAATTTTTTTATGTGTAAATTTTTTAACATTTATGGGGCACGTTTTAATGAGACTCTGGTGTGGCTCCAGGGACAGATTATGGCTGCCGCCTGACCACAAAGCCAGCTCCGAAATGGGGCCCCCCAGGCCTCTGGGCCCACTGTGAAGGGCCAGAGGCTGGAGGCTAGGAGTGAAGAGGTACACACAGGAGCCAGCCCAGAGCTCCGGGCCCACAGAGACCTTGGCCAGCACTGCCTTGAGAGTTATTCACTTCATCTTTCAGTCCAGGCTCTCTGACTAGAAGGGAGCTGAAAATCCCATAGATACCAGGACAGGGAAAGGAAGTAAGATAATCAACGCCGGTAATAATTAACATTTATAGAGCACTTACCAGGTGCCAAGTACCATTCTAAACACTTTATACGTTTTATCTTATTTAATCCTCTTTCCACACCCACAAGGCATGTATTATTATGCCCAATTTTTTGCCTGCCTAGCATACTTGAGGCCCTGGGTTCAATACCCAACACCCCAAAATAGATAGACAGATAGATAGATAGATAGATAGACAGGCATATATACATAATCTCCATTGTAGGAGGTGAAATCACATGCATGAGCTCATGTAGTGAGGATGGGGCAGAGAAAGGAATCAAGCTCTGAACTACAACCCCACTCTGAACTATTGAGCTCCCTAGAGCTAATCTCTTCACTTTTCTAGGAGCCAGGTTTTGTTTTAGTTCTTTTCTAGCCACATCTTATTTAATCCTCAGTATACTCTGAGAGTCACTTTATTTATTGATTGATTTTTTGGTGCTGGAGATCAAACTCAGGACCTTGCATGTGCTAGACCAGTACTCTACCACTGAACCACAGTCTATGGGAGCCATTATTATTATCCTATTTTACAGGTGAGAAAACTAAAGATTAGAGATTAAGTAAATTGTTCAAGGTCTCACAGTAGATGAAAGACCTAAAACTTAAGAGGCTCCCAAACCCATTTTTCTTGGGTACCCTACTTTGGTATTTGATTCTCACAATAGCCCTGTGAGGTAGTTATTATTATCCCTATTTAATAGCAGAAAAAAAAACCATCAAGGACTAGGGACCCTCCAGTCAGCTAGGACTTGAACCAAGTGGGTCTAACTTGAGAAGCCCAGCCTCTCTCCTCAGTAGCCCCCATTGCTTCTCTAAAATCTAAGGCCATCAAAGGGGAATTCCAGGTTCTTCACTTGAAAGTGATTTGCCTTGTCATGCATAATAGTTTCCATAAAATGTTCATTTAGTCCCCAGTCATCCAGCAGGTCTCCAGTCCCAGGCATTTACCTTT